AGAAGAAGAAGAAGAAGAAGAAGAAGAAGAAGAAGAAGAAGAAGAAGGAAAAATAATTCCCAGACTGGGAAAGCCCAGGGCTTGTGTGAAGGACACAGACATGTGAGACAGCTAAAAGCATCCATTCATGTGGACTTTGGTGCTCAAAGAGACAGACAGGAGAGAGTATCTTCTCTGAGACACCCAGCTGGACCACTGTGGGACTCAGAAGCATATTAGTAAGCTCTCATAGAAGCAGTCTTAGGTAGATGATAGTTCGTATGAATGTACATCTAGTATTTGTTCTTATATTTGTATCATCAATTATCAGGCACTTACATTCAAAACTGCCAGGGGACTACACACACACACACACACACACACACACATACACACACACACACACACTGTCTTATATGCCTGTTTCTGAGAAAAACAGAAGACTTGCAAACATTTAGAGGTTATGTTTGGATGAATACCCAGAGAAAAGGCTGTCATAAAAAATATTGTTTATTCAGGCCACACAGCCATTTGCATTTCAGATCTGGATAAGATATAAATCTTCCCTGTAAGCTGTCAAGGGGTAGATCTGCTCTTAGTTTTTTGCTTAGCCCATGTTCCCTAAAAGAAGGCATGGAATATCGACAGGGTAGTACTTCTATAGAGAGATGGCCTGATCACCTTAGACGGAGGAGGCTATGTTCTCCTGTACTGTGGACATCATCATTTCTAGATTGTTTGATGAAAGCACCAGAGAATGGCAGTTCTCACACACTAATGGGCAAATGGATTGATAGCAAACACTTCCTTAATACGTGTGAGCTAATTACGTTTGCTCTGTGGCCCAGGCAGTAAGTGGACTTAATAGGTAAGCTTTTACTTTGTAACACCTGCCTGTGGGTTTTTAATAGCTGATCTGGTTTAGTGCTCACATGGTTTAGGCACGATCCAGGAATCATTTTGTTGGTTAGTTTTCTTTGTTCATTGAAATGGCCAATCAGTTCATGAGGAAATCAAGTCTTGGGGAGGTTTTGTCATCTTCCAAAGGTGATGAACAGACCTGTTGTCTGGCCAGTGAGTCTTGCAAAATCCATGGTGCCTCTTGATAGTGAATTCAGGTTTCCTCTCCTGTACCTCACGCCTCCTAGTGTTTGATATTCTTGACCTGAAATCCAGCTAGTCCCTGTCTCTGCCTTCTAGGTCAGAAGCCTGGTCTCTCATTACCTTTCGGGTTCCAATCATTCTCTGTGATAAACGTCTCCTGTTGTTATAGCTTGCTGCCAAGAAACTCTTTAGGAGTTGGCGCCATGCACTCCTCTGAAGCATTACATTCTGGAGCAATAGAATACCCTTTCATGAGAAGTAGAAGAGGAAGTCCTGCCATGTATGACATCCCTGTCAGCAGTGTCCTTTACAAAAGGTCTTCTGAAGTTTGCCCTGCTTCCTAGGTTGGTGGGCAGTAGGGAGGCCTTACCCGTGCACACAGTATGTGGCTCAGTTCCTGTGTGTTCCCTTGTGTTGAGATCACAAGCCAATGACAGTTCCCTCCATTGGGGATCATTAGGGAACGTGGAGACCCCCTGCCCCAAATTTCTCAGTATTTTTGAACTAGGAGCAGCAAGAGAAAGGTCAAGAGCTAGCAAGCAATAGGCCTGGTTGGCCTACAGACTGCACTAGAATAGCTGTGGGAATGTTAGCTCTCCAGTCTCCACCAGCAGTGCTTAACGAGGAGACACCAACATCTCCCACGAGTTTGTGCAGCGTTTGTCTGAGCTCCAGGCTCTCGGTGGAACTTGGTGTGCACACACTGGAAGAGGCATGCTGTTCTGTTGTTGTTTTGTTTCCATTGAATCAGGGTCTGGTGTCTGGGTCACACTGGTTCGGAGCTCTGGTTCCTCCTGCTCTGGATCTCTTGGCTGTAGAATTCCGCTAGTTGAAGTGATAGTCCTCAATCTCGATCCATTTCTAATCCCACGTTTATCACATCCTCATGCACTGAATACACGCCTAGGAGTCAGAACCCTGTAAGGTCACAGCTGGGACTTGAGATCATGAACAGAGAGGTGTTATGTGAGGTCAAATTGAACACTTTTGTTTCATCCCATCGGGGTACACGTGAATGCTATTGGGGTGTGTTTTACAGTGCTGTGTTCTTCTGATGTAACCGACATGTTCAAGCAACTCCTGTTTCCTCTCCAACACTCTGCCATTGCTCCTCTCTCTTCCAGACCGCGCAGACCGTCCTGGTGGTGGTTGTGGTTTTTGGTATATCCTGGCTGCCCCATCATGTCGTCCACCTCTGGGCTGAGTTCGGAGTGTTCCCGTTGACCCAGGCTTCCTTCTTCTTAAGGATCACTGCCCACTGCCTGGCATACAGCAACTCCTCGGTGAACCCCATCATATATGCCTTTCTCTCAGAAAACTTCCGGAAGGCGTACAAGCAAGTGTTCAAGTGCCACATTTGCAATGAACCAGTCCCCAGCGACACTAAAGAAAACAAGAGCCGAATAGACACCCCGCCGTCCACCAACTGTACCCACGTGTGAAGGTGCACTGAGACCTCCTGACCCCCAGCTCCCATGTGGGTTAGAGAGAACAGGATGCAGTGGACGATGACGAAACACGGAGCTCGTTCTCCTGACCACAATCTGTAGCCCTCTAACTATGTTTCACAGCTGTTAACCTACCTTGATTGCTGAGGAACTCGCGGGTCCACTGAAGTCCAATTAGCTTCCTTATAAAATTGTATTTCTGAAACAAAAGAAAATTCTGTAGAGTTGATGTCTCTCAAGGAGTGAGAATCCAACAGCATTCTACAGATAAGTTCAGATTCCACGGGACAAGGCCAGTTCTGTAAAGCAGTGAAGAATATTTGAAATCTACATTATTTTTTGAGACAGAGTTTCTCTGTGGGATTGTTCCAGCTGTCCTGGAACTCACTTTGTAGATGAGGCTGGCCTTGAACTCACCGAGATCCACCTACTTCTGACTCCTGAGTGCTGGGATTAAAGGCATGCGACAGAACTCTGCATTTAAAAGTTAGTTAACTTAGGGGGAAAGTTCTTTTTTTTTGCCTCAGCTTTGAGTGGAGAGGTAATAGTCTAGCCTGTGTATTTTGAAATACAACTGTGGCACAGAATAGTGAATTTTATTCCATAAAACCTTTGTAGACAGGCACCTCTTCTGAGTGGGGCAGAGGAGGTGGGTTTTCATTTTGTCTTTATGGGTGGTCAGACGTCTCTTTGGGAATGTGAGGCCATCATGTTCATTTCAGGAGATCAGCGGTGATTCTACTTTGGAACAAGCCTGTGAACTGGAATGTTTAGAGTGAACTAATCAATGCCCAGGGATCTGCCGAGGACCAAGAATCTGGCAGAGGCACCAGGGGGAGAGTCTTGGGAAAGAAGACAGTATGTTATAGCTTTTAGCATGTTCTTAGCAATATATATTAGCTATGCCCCCCCAAAACCTATGAAGCCAGTCATCCAATAACTTCGGCAGGATTGAAAACTGGACAAAATTTCATTAGATCCTGGGTAATATCCATGCCCCTTGGAGAAAGCAGGAGAGACATTTGACTCAGACGGACTGAAGACAACAAAACATACGAGAGAATGCACACGCCTAGAGAAATGCTGTCTTGCATGTACATATATTTTTATTAAACTTGTCCTAACAAATGTTTAATGCTCATTTTCCCAAAATATTATTCCCTAGGGTAATGTTAATTTAGAGTCAGAATCCTTACTACTTGACCTACTAATGTAATTTTCATGACAAGTCCAAGTTTCTTTATACTTGCCATAGAAAATGCTGTGAAAAGACTAAATTGTCTTATCTCAGAAGAATAATGATTCAACTTAAGACTTTGATATATTTTAAGAGGTAGGAAACAAAAGCAAGACACTTTCTTTTTAAATCCAAAAAGGATGTTGTGTCAGTGCCGAATTGAGACTTCCTATGAAACACGTAATTTAGGTTAAAAACAAGTGTAATGTGAGCTTTTGGTCTGTGAACATTTTAGCTCACCTGTTGATGACCCTCTCCCTGTGCGCAGTGTTTACATTTGTAAAGGCCCACGGAAAATGGAGAACTGTTAAAGTTACGGGGCGATGAGTTTCCAGTGGTCACCGGGGAAGGACAAGCATGCTGGGATAGGCGGGTATTTTAAAGAGAACCGTAAGCTCTTTGCATGGAGTTTTGTTCATTTGTACTTTACTCAACGTAGGAGCAAACGTATTTTGTCTTGAACAAGACAGCTCATGTGATAGGTGGGACCCAAAACTGTCGGTGTAGATATTGGCACACCTTCTTCACCCATGCTGTCTGCAGAGGGGCTTGGTCAACCCTGTGTGTGAGAGATTTTCCATGCTGTAATAATTCCCTTGTTCTGTCGTGGCCAGAGGTATCTTAGCTGCAAATGTTTAACAATACCGTGGCGAAGGCAGAGCTTGTCTAGAAGGCACGTTGGTGTGAGTGTGTTCCCGCTCCTGTATCTGTGTCCTCCCCAGAGAGCAGCATCTAAGATCAGAGCTACAGCAAGGAAGGGATAATTTGCACCCGCAATCCCCCAAATTTGCTAAATATTAATTCAAACTGCTCCTGCGGCGGGAAGACACTTCCTGTGAACTGCTGTTCTGCTAATTTTCTCTTAGCCTTGAACTTGAGTGCACTTCTAAAACAGCTTAGGATCCTGACTGTAGCCTACTTCCTGCAAAAACAGGGGACTAAATGGAGTGTTCTGGAAAGTGTCTGTAAGACCTGGGCCAGATCAGTCACCCAGGTGAGTATCCGGAGAGCCCATTAATGTGCCAAACTTCTTGCAGTATAGCTCTTGCTGATAAGTGATTACCAAGATCAGTTTGGAGGCACCTTCCATCCCACACTGGATGCTGGCAACCTCCCTCCCATCCCACACTGGATGCTGGCGACCTCCCTGATACAACAGGCACATTTCCTGCAGCCAGACGGAAGAGGAAATATGTGGGTCTTTGAAGTCAGGTGACTGCAGAGCTCTGCACACAGAAAATTGTTTTCTTCACAAGCTTTTCGGCTTCAGTGCTTTGAGGCAGCTGTTATTTTGCGGAACCTTTCCTGGAGAGATGGACTTGGGAATATTTAAATAGCAGGAATGCTTGCTGCTACACACACACACACACACACACACACACACACACACACACACGCTTGCATGTGCACACACCTGCATACACAAACACACACACTCACACACACGCACCCCCACTATTCCAGCTTCCCACTGAGGAGTCCCGTCAGCAGCATTCCAAAGAGGTATTATGATAGACTCGTTCTATGCTATTCTGACCGCATGTTTATTCAGCAGTGTAAGAGCCTGAGCCTCCTTTTTGAATATTTTAGACAAATTATTGTTGCTTTTGATTAAATTGTTCTATTTACACAGTGGGAATAGAACAATTTCCTGTGCTCCTTTGTCCCTCTTTTGTACTTTTATCCTTTTGTCTCAACTTCCTACTTCTCCAGAAATCCCTACCTGATGGGATTAACCCACCTTCCCCGGATATGAGTGTCAGAAGAGAGAGAGCTGGCTGCTGGGTTCATGAGTCATGCAGGGCTTGGAGCTGCTTATGATTCCGCCTCAAATCAGGATGGGGGTGGGTCACGGCTCTCCCTGACCCCTCGGGGGGACAGAGGTCCAGCTGGGATAGTCCCATTCTGCTAACTGAAGCCCCAGGTCAGGGTGCTTCCAGTAGGAGAGGGCCACCCGCCTAAGTACCTGCTTCCTTCTGTACTGGGCTACAGAGTCCTTGAGCTTGCCATAAAACCTCATTGCATAGTTGGAATGATGGGTGTGTGGCTGCATCTTGCTCTTGGCTTTGAGGGTTTTTTTTTTTACATACATGTATACGTGTCACAAATTACGGGAACTGTAATAATGCATGGATGGGATTATTTCCTGGGGGAAACTCAGCTATCTATCATGTGCCAGTTCTTAGCGGCATTGGTTGCAAATGTTTCCCATGTTTTCAATCTGCAAGCGACTGTCTAGGGAAGTGAGTCAGATCCTTGGTCATTAAAGAGTTGCATGCTGGGTTTCTTGGATGATGTGTTAATAGCCTGTCTAATTAACACCTTGCTTATTATATGACCATACACAGCAGGTGGCCCAGGAGCCTCATCATGGCTGATTGGCTTGCAAGTGGTAATTGTATGTGGCTTAAATTGGCACCCCATTTGAATATCTTCCCTCTAAAGTGGGAAAGCTGAGCATAAAGAACTGGATAATAGGCTCCCCGTGCACATGTAGGCTGCTGCTGCTGCGTGAGGCTAGCGTGTTTAAAGTCACACAGTAGTCAAGGTGTTCTGATGTTTTCTTGTGCACATGTTGTGCCTCTGATTCTACGTGGTGGCTTCTCTTTTTAGGGTGAAAGGCTCAGACGCTGCTCTGTGGGTCTGAGGCATGTCTGCATGTCTATGGCATGATGTCTATGTCTGACGGCACGCAGAAACATTAGCAGGCCTACACATTTACTCCTCGATGGTCTTGGCGGCTGTGTCCTGTCACATGTCTTGCTGGCCCCATGAGCATTCTGAATTCTTAAGTGATGCTCTGGGTACAGTGACAGTAGTACGGCCGCATGAGTGAGTGAGGAGAAGGGAAGGGAGTGAGCTTTCCACCTCTACATGTGCTGTAGAAATGACTCTATCTAGATTTTCTGAAGCTGCACAGCGCTGCCTGGGGCCGGCAGGTTGGACGGTTCACAAAAGTCTGTCCTATTGATCAGGCTTATGATGTTACCTTGGCTGGAAAGCCTTATCTTTCTGCTGGAGAACAGACTTCAGGACGTCGTAGACTGTCATATGTAGCTTCAGATAGATTCTCAGCAGTCAGAGACAACAAAGTATTGAAAAGCTTAAATAGAGTCTGGGCTCCACCATGCATGTTCTCTAGCATCTTGGAGAATGGGAGTCAGTGTGATGACCCCTTGTTAGATGAACTTTGAGTGCTGTAGGTTTCTCTGAGGTGCTGTCTACCACAGTATTGTGCTTCAAAAGATTAGACACCGATTACTAAAGCTGGCTTATTTATGTGGCATTAGAGCCTGTGGATCTGCGAAGCTTTTCCACCCTTAGCTTGTTTGGGCATTGAAGCTGCTCAGCCACATGGTGACAGGAGAGGAATGACTGCCTGTTTCAGACTGTGGGTAACCCTTCCGTATAGAGTAGTCTCCGGATGGGGCCAGCCTTTCCTGGTACTCTTCCCCATGTGGTCACCTGTCATCATGCCCTAAGAAGAAAGAGATTTGTTAGTGACTGGAATCAGTGCCAGTCCTGGGCCTTCTGTGGGCACTCAAGGAATCAGGGTCCTGGGACTGCTCAGGATCTGTGGACTACAAGTACTCAAACCTTTGCTGAACTGTTCAGGAAACTCCAGGTGGGTCCCAGGGCTTTCTTCTGAGGTTTCTGCTCTTCTGGGGAGTTCTTCATGGGAGTACAGTGGGAAGGAGATTGTTGGCCAAGCAGCTTCCACTTCCCTGCTTTGGTAGGTGACTTCTGGGAACTACTTCTCTGAAAAGAGAGTAGCAAACACGAAGCGTGTGCTGGCCCGTGTGAATCTTTCTCATCCTTCCTCACTCTCGCTTCTCAACGCCCCTTGGATTTCACTCTCCCGCTCTTTTCTTGGCTTTAGCCATAGTTCTGCCCTTGGGTAGATTCTGTCAGAGATATCCCGAGCTTGGCCATGCGTTCCACACCCTCGTTGTTTGCTCTGGACATAGGATGCTTCTTGGCTGTCCCAGCAGGAATTATGTTTTAAACAGTGAAGTGTGAAAAGTGCAGGCTTCAACAGCAAACTGTTTCCATAACAGATCAAAGGTGGCTAATCAAATCTTTTCCCCAGCCAGGTTGCACACACATGACACCCCTACAGAGGGGTCTAGGCCTTGAGAGTGCTGTACCTCTGAGAACTTCTTTCTGGTGTGTTACTTCTGAAATGCCCTGACTCAGAATGAGAGCAAGCTCAGCTCCAGAACTGGCTTCCATGTCATTAGTGTCTCCCGGTCAAGCTCCACCACGCTGTGCCCTGGAGACCCCTGAATTCCCTGCCCTTCACTGGGTCCACCTCTGTAAGAACATCCTAGCTGGTGACTGAGTTTTCATAGCCCCTGTCATATTCTTTCTGTCATGCCACAGGACGAGATGAGCTGTGGGTGCCTAGGACCCGAGGGATACCTGACGACCCTGGGGAATCAGGGTGATCTTGCTATTGAACTTGCCACCATAGGTGTTGCTGGTGAAACAAAGACTTCAATTACAAGCAGCTGAGGGTCAAGAAGGTAGAGCTAGGAGGGGCTCCATCTCAGAAAGAATCCCTGGGAACAAGTGTTGATTGCACAACGCTGTGAAAGCCACACAGCGGTGACCATGAGAGTGTTTGTGTGACTGAAAGCAAGCGCTTTTTATTCCCTTTTCCTTTTTTGTTTCCAGAGAATGCTGCCTACATGGATGTGGCAAAGAAACCAGTTTCCATGAACAAGCAAGCTCAGGAGCAGGCAGCAACACACAAGCTTCTCAGGGGCCTGTGCTTGGGGTCTCTTGGCTTCCCGGCTAGTGAGGAACATGTTCTTTATATGTGTGAAGAGTAAGTGGA